TTCTGGCACTCTGCAGCAGGCTCGCTCCCTTAATTACCCGAATGACGGGATCTACCGGCATTACACTACCCCCCCCTTTACAAAAGACAGCCGACCCTGGCTGTAACCAGACTACAATGACAAGAAGAAGTACAGAACGTAATCCGGCGGTAGTAGGACTTGTCGCTCCAGTGAACATGAGAGTCACTTTAAACAGCTGGTTTTCAAGCGTGACCTTGTCGCTGGTCCTCCAGGGACAGGTAGAAGTGGTCCTGATGGGTTGGTCTTCTCCGAAGGACGGCAAGGATGAGGAGACATCGGAGGCAGTCCGCCTCTTGCAGGAGGAGCCAGTCGCTCCGGGGTCCTTAAGCACTGGGATCCTGTCGGCAGAGAGTCCGCAGACGCCTGAGGGACAATGTCCCCTAGTTCATGGCCCGGCTCGCCGGGTGCATCCGACACACAGCCATCTGTTAGTGGAGATGACGCGACACCGTGGGGCGGATGAAAAGGTTTGAGTCGCGACGCATGCACGAACCAGCGCCTGCGACCGATCTGAATGTATACACTCTGCGGGCTTGCTATCTCAATGATTGTGATGGGACCCTGCTAAGGCTTGTACAATTTTGGGGATGTACCCACCGGAACTTGGGGGTAGTGTAGCCATGCCTTATCACCCGGCTCCCATTTAGTCCCAGATTCACAGAGAGCAACCAGGCATTAATTTGCGGCTTGCCTCCGGCCCGAATTTCCCCAAGAGGCCTCCCTTGCCTCTGACAAGCGCTTGAGGGTAAGGTGCATGGGGTCGGCAAGTTTACTCTTTCCAAGGTCAGGGTTCAATTGAACCTCGGTGGGTGGATCATACTCCCTCCCATACATGAGAAAAAATGGCGTTCATTGGAGCTCTGTCATCCCGACAGTTTTGTTCCTTCACCTTAATCCCTCTCACACAGCTTAAAGGCCGTGGTCTGAGCTTGGCTCTGTTTCACTCCAGCGCAGTCTTCGAGACAGTCTGGTCCCTTCACCTGATGAAGGCCGCTTGTGTTGTGGCCGAAACGTCGTGATTTTTGTGTTTTATTTTTTACCTACGTGACTTTACCGAATGGAACCAAAGAGTAAGCCGGTGAATGCCTGTGAGGCCAAACTGTACGCAGCAAAGTCACTATAGGTGGCATTTCTGTGGTTTAAATTTAAATTTTGCGGCCCGCATTTTGAGAAAAACCGCACGCAACCTTCCTAGGTGCTCCTTGAACGTACGGCTGAATACAATGACGTCATCAAGGTAGATCAGGCACGCGTCCCATTGTAGTCCCGCCAACACCAATTCCATCAATCTTTGGAAGGTTGCCGGGGCCGAGTTTAATCCCATCGGGAGCTGGTTAATTTCGAAAAGGCCTCGTGGTGTGCGGAACGCGGTCAAGAGGCAACTGCCAGAACCCTGACAGTAAATCGAGAGTGGAGAAGAACTTTGCCACTGACAAAGCATCTAGCTAAATAAACAGAAAAGTGTAGACTCCCATCTTGTTTTTTTAACAAGCACGATGGGGGCCCCCCACGGGCTGTTTGATGGGGAGATAATTTCGGTGGCCAACATCTCGTCAACCGCATAGCGTACATGGTCCTTCTCTCTAGGGCTTAATCTGTAGGGGTTTTGCCGAATGGGTGCGGAATCTCCTGTCGCGATATGATGGTGTAACAGAGGTGTACAGCCAATGTCAAATTTAGATTTATTGAAAACATCGGATGCATTTGCCGTGTGGAATATGGTTGGCGATGTTAAAAATGCCATCTGGCGGCCCGAAGGTAATTCTATGCAGCCTTGATCGATAAGGATTTTCAGTGGTATTTTGGCTAAAGAATCCATCCCCAACAGGCAAGGTACTGCGAGGCAGGTGGAAACAAGCACGCGACCTGTCCACGTGATGTCGCTGACGCATACTGTAGCCATTAACTGACCAATGATCCCTAATGACTGACCTTCGTGGCGAAACATGGAATATTAACAGGGGAAATGGCGCGAGATTTTGGCGGCAAACAATCGTAAATAATTTCCGAAATTATTGTCGCCGATGCACCGTTGTCCACAAGTAGACGTACCTCAATCCCCTCAATTGTCCCTACGACAGCGGATGACCCTGTTGCCGCGGCAATAACGCGGTGACCCAAGGCATGTAATTGCGCGAACTCAGCAAACCTTAGAAATATAATGCGATACAACCCAGGTTTGCTGAGTTCGTGTCTCCCATCTTCTTGATGTATTTGCCTCCGTACAGTTTGCCGTTCTCGGTGTGCTCTGTGTGCCATGTCCCTCTGTGTGTTCCCTCGCGGTGTGGTTTACGCCATTTTCACCTGAGGACGAGCGCTTGTGTTGCGTTCGATACGTCGTGATCTATTTAAATTGTATTTGATTTCTACATACATGAATTTACCAAAAGAACCAATGAGTATAGTCATTCCTGCAGTCACGAAAGCTTCAATCCTAGATTAATCCACCTCTACGGGGAGGTTGTCCTTACAATTGTCCAAAACATATTTCCCCGTGTTGTCTTCTCTGTGTATGTATCTCTACTTGTTGTAATTTTGCTTCGTTTTCGTTTACCGTGGTTGGTATCTCCGTTTTAGTTTGTTTCCCATGTGCTTTCTCCATTTTCGTTTTCCCATGTGTTTCCCCCAATTTGTTGCCTGCATTGGTATTTGCATGTCCATGCACGGTTACCCTTCCCTTCCCCCACGTCTACAGCCTATATAAGTCCCTGTACGTTACCCTGCCAGGCATCTTTCTGTGTGTGCCTCTCCATGTGTGTATGTCTCTTGGTGTGGTGTTGCTCGTTGTGTCCCTCTGTACTGCCCTAAACACCTTTCCCTGTGTGTCGTCTCTGTGTATGTATCTCTGCTACCTTTTACCTCGTATCTGTTCAAGAGTCTTTATCCTCTGTTTACGTTGGTGTGTTCAACCTAGAAGATGAACACAAGATTTAGCAGTCTTTTGAAATACGTGATCAACCAGGTTTAGTGTCTAACTGTGTTGTTGGCCGACTGGGTTGCATCGCATTATATTTCTAAGGTTTGCTGAGTTTGCGTCTCCCATCTTCTTGATGTATGTGCCTCCGCGCAGTTTGCCGTTCTCGGTGTGCTCTGCGTGTGATGTCCCTCTGTGTGTTCCCTTGCTGTGTGGTTTACGACATTTCACCTGAAGACGAGTGCTTGTGTTGCGTTCGAAACGTCGTGATCAATTTTATTTCTAAATACGAGACTTTACCGAAAGAACCAATGAGTACTTGTCATGGCTGACATAAATCTCCACATCACGATAAGCCACTTCGTTGAGCTGTCATTTGCGATAACCAGGTCGCTACGGAAAAACATATAGATATACACACCTCTCAGTAGGACCTTACCTGGTAAAATAAAACAAATTTAAGGGGCCGTCCATAAATGACGTCACGCGATTTTGGACGATTTTTTACTCCCCCCCCTCCCTTGTCACACGGCGTCCCAAAAAGTCAGACCCCCCCTCAAATATGACGTCACAAAGCTCTGCCCCCCCCCCCGAAACCATATTTCCATTTTGAAAATAAAACATGCTTCAAATTGCTTTAAACTATCGTCATTGTAGTGCGTATTTAATGTGGCCCTGCACTCTGATGTTGTAGGCGAAAACATGTATTAAAAAGACGTTGGAAAGCTGAAATTTAGCATAAAATTCACTTGAAAATATTAATCGTCTAACTAAAACTGCAGATGTCCAGAATATTATATTGAAATTCTCTTATAATTATCATTTATTAAAAGTAATTATAACTATAAAAATACTTGAAACTTTTGTAGAATGAAGCATAATGGAGAGTACAATTATACTGGTAGGAACCTCCTGGTTACACCAGCCCACAGGGGATTATTGTGTCCGTCCGTCCGTCGTGCATCCAAAAATGGGTGGGGTGGGGCTGGGTGGGGAGGGGAGGGTGGGGAGGGGCTGGGTAGGCAGGGAGGGGCTGGGTGGGGAGGGAGGGGCTGGGTGGGGAGGGTGGGGAGGGGCTGGGTGGGGAGGGGCTGGGTGGGGAGGGGAGGGTGGGCAGGGGCTGGGTGGGGAGGGTGGGGAGGGGCTGGGTGGGGGGTGGGAGGGGTGGGGCTGGGTGGGGAAGGGCTGGTCACCCCGTGGTGCCCTTATAAAACTCAACGTTTAACCTACTCACGCCGGCTTGTGCCGACCTCACAGTCGGGCATATTTGCGGAATACACCACGTGGTGCCGCCGTTTACCCTGGCCATTGACCGAGCAACCCAACGTTCCTACCAGCTCCCTCCGCAGGAATGTGTTTAACAATCACATATTCATTCCACAGAATGAAAAGCCCTGGTAGAATAATTAAAATAAAATAAACATGTTGAATAACTAAATTTATGCTTCTCCATTCTCCGATGGAGAAGCAAAATGCTTCTTCATGGAATCGATAAAAGGTGACCTTGGTAAAAAAAAAAGTTAATAATGAAAATTAATAAAAATTTGTGTTGTTATAACAATTTAGATTTAATTAAGTAGAATGTGTTGTTTACATTTAAAGTTGCGCATTTTGATGTGACGTCACATTTCTTAAAACGCACATAGGACCTGGGGACTCTCTTGCGGTCAGTGGCGCTCGCAGTGTCTTTACATTTTACGTTTAACTTTCCCATACTTAGCACTCCCATTACGTGCTTTGTATTGTTTGTCGTCGTGAGGTTCTGACCACGTGCATGCGGCGGGGTGGGAAAGCGCTTTTATAGCTCATCGGATTCCCTCCACTTAAAACAAATCAACAATAATTTCGATTTAAAGCTTTCGCGACTGCAAGGATTGAGAATAAAATAATAAAATAAAACAAGAATTCTATTGTTTTTATTAATTTTATTATTTTATTCTCCTTCTACGTGACTTTACCGAAAGAACCAAATAAGATAAATCAACAATAACTCCACGTGTCCACGACAGAGGGACGCGTGCGCGCGCGTTTCTCGCTGCACGCGCGTCACATCGCCGCGGTCCCTTAGGGGTCGAGGGGGTGTGAGGGTGGGGGGGAGGCACTCGCACGGGGGCCAACAGAGCGCGGGCGACCCCCTCCGTCTCCAGCTCGCTGCTGCTCTCCCCTCTTCGTCTCGTCCACCTCCTCCTCGTCCTCCCCTCCACCCTCCTACACCTACCTCACTCGTCCGTCTTCACCACCACCAACCACCACCACCGTCTCCTCGTCGCCTCGTTGAGCGGCTGGAAGACTTCACAGCTGAGGGGAGAGGCCTGGTCGCGCCATACACTCGGTTAGCCTGTTGCCGACGCCGCGGGGTTTTTTTAAAACAAATAAAATATATATATATAATATCTGGCCATCCCTCACCACGTTGTTAATGTACATTTTACACTGGGATATAGATTCTACGACAGACCACACTCCGTTACAGATTGCAATGGACTATACCGTGCTATTGATTACGCTGTAGACTAATCTGTGCTTTACACTGTGACCTACAGTGTCCAAGATTACACTGTAGACTGTGCTGTACATTACACTGTTGACTACACGTGTGCTTTAGATTACACTGGCGTACACTGTGTTATACATTATACTACAGACTGTACTGTGCTATAGATGGCACGATAGACTACACTGTGCTTTACATTACACTGTGACCTACAGTGTCCAAGATTACACTGTAGACTGTGCTGTACATTACACTGTTGACTACACGTGTGCTTTAGATTACACTGGCGTACACTAATATACATTATACTACAGACTACTGTGCTAAAGATGGCACGATAGACTACACTGCAGAATGTCAGTGCACCAACACGTCATTGCACTGTACTATGCTCCCAGTCTTCAATCCGCAATAACCAGGGTGGTGAAGTATGGTCAAATCACCCGCACGACCTGCATTGAGTAGGGAGGTTCTCATCCAGCAATGAATTGACAAAAGGGCCGTGCATGTAGGTGTTCATACAGGTTATATTTTAATATTAGCAATATTCGAGGTGTGTTTTGTTGTATTGCTGTAACCCTTGCTTACCACACGAAACATCGAATACACAACACATTAAAATATGGAATGGGCGAAATATCCCAAATATAGCCCTTACCCAGAAAGCAGTAAACTTCGTGCACAAGTACTTGAGTTTGAGCTGTGGCAACAGCGGTTTAGCACACTGCATTATGAACCTGACAACCTGAGTTTGATTTCAGGTCATGGCTAACATCAGTGATTCATATCTGACCCAGTCCTGGGTACCACCCCCGTAACTCAGCCGCACTGACCAGCATGACAGTATGGTTAACCATCCTCTTGACCGAAGGCATTGGAAGGCCTTCAATCAGCAGTGGATAGATAAAGGTCGGCAAACAAACTATCAGCTGTCAAGTTAATAGAGAACAAAGTCTGACAATGTTTCGTTCAATTTGAGCTCTAGAGCTCAGTTATTTTAGAATTGTATTGCATGTTGTTTAGCGTAATGCCCGACGCTTTGCTCCAAGCACTGGGAGCTGAGCAGATAAATGTAGTTCCTGCAGAAGGTCCAAAAATAAGGAGCGAAATATCAGATATGCCAAAGTACACGTGGTACAACCCGAACACATTTGAGAGAAAAATTCAAAAATCCACCACCCATCACCTAAAATTAACCATTTAATAACTGTTCTCACAGTGTGAGGAATGGCGTGCGCGGTGGCATCCGTCCCAGCCATCGCCTCCATCCTGGAGCCGGGCAGGGACTTCCCGGCATGGCTGGAGACGCAGGGCGTGAACGCGGAGGTGGCCCGGGCCATGGACTCGGAGCTGGGCATCCGGGACTACGGGGTCCTGCGCGCCTGTGTCAGGGATGGTCTCGTGCGGGCCGAGCTGCTGGCCGCGGCGCGCGACCGCCTGCCCTTCGGCTTCTACGCCGTGCTGCGGCAGGTGGTGAAGGCCCTGCAGGGAACCGAGCCCCACGACACCGCCGGGACACCACGCTGGGACGACGACGCGGCCGCCTCCTCCCCTGGTGACGTGACGCTGGGAGGGCTGGTGGAAGTGCTGCTCGCGTTGCTCAGCGGTTTGAGCCGGGAGCTGCTGCTGTCCATGCGGAGGCTGGGAGGTGGTAGTGGTGGTGATGGTGGCGGTGGCTGCGGTGATGGCAGTGGGAATGGAGATGGACGGGTCTTTTCTGGGGACTCCCCGCCAGACCCGGAGGGACTCGCATCTGATTACAGGGTGGCTGATGAGGAGGAGGGCACGGCAAGCGTGAAGGATGAGTACTCAGGCTATGGTGAGTGAGCACCAACAGTGTCCACACAGACCAGGCTATAGACTTTGTCTTGTTTCTGTCTGGAATGCAGTGGCATGTTAACTCTCATGAAGATTACCTAATATGGACTAAACTTTAGATAAAGTTGCGTTTCAGATGAGCATCACTCAACACTTTTGAGCATTGAAAATCAATCCGGCATTGCTGAGATCCTGGTTTCAAATTTTTATTTTAGCCATACGCAATTAAAAACTGGGTTCTCAAGTTTCACATGGTGATGGTCTGAGCCTCGTCACCAATGTTTATACCAAATAATAATTTAAAATGCTTTTTTTGCTTTGGAAACATGCCAGCTTTGACAATTCAATTTATTAGTTCTACTGCCATTCCATAATTTTTTTTCACTGTAACAGTGAATGTGGGAAAATGTGGATAAGAGGTCACCTGAAGGGATCTCAGAGGCAGACCTGTAATATTTGAATCAATTGGCCATTATCGAATACGGGTTGGTGCACTGCTCTGAGACAGTTCGGAAAGGATTTTTTGTTTCAGTGTGATGCCGATAGCACAATTAGAATATAATTTTTACAACACAGCCACATTTTATTTATATTCATGATATACAAAATCACTCTCCATGATTCAGTGAGCAACATCCTCGAAATTAAGTGACTAATCTGTATGTATGTATCTTTTTTTAAGAACTCCTAGGCCACTCCACCAATTTCACAGAATGAGGTGTCATATGAAAGGTCATGATATGGAGTTTATGAAAAATCGTGAAAAGATTGGACCTTTGAGCTGATAAATTTGGCTTATTAGCCCCAGAATTTCTTTTCCACTCTACCATTTGCAATGATTCCTCCATACACCTGATTTTAAAATCATAAAATTCATAGCTGTGTGCCATTGGGGCAGGTGGGCGAGCAGTTGAATCACATATGCTTATTTAGTTTAATTAGTACATTAGTTAACTTTACTTGGTGTATTATTTAACCTCTTATATCCAAAAACTCAACACATTTGTCAATGACACTGGAAAAATACGTAATAGGTTTCCCACTATATTGTATGAATTGGCGAGAAATAAGAAGTGAGTGTTAGGTTAGTGGTAAATATCTGACGAGTGTCAGGTAAGTACTATCAAGTGTCAAGTCACCCTCTTTGTGTATGTATTAAATATAACCCATCCTATCTTCATTGGAACACCTTACAATCCACTTTTCATCGTGTAATCCTTCCACAGATGGCTGGAGAATGAATTACAAAATTTTTGTTCATCTAGTTTATTTACTAACTCAAGAAAAAGCTGTTTTCTGAAAAACAAGATTTTGTCGGTTTTGTTTCCTGGAAAACCCCTCAGTTGTCATAGTTCAGAGTCACAATTTTCAGTGTGTATAACATACTGGTATAAATTAGTAGAATGTACAGTATAGTGGTACAGTACTGTATAAATGTAACTGTCTCTAAAATGGTAAATTATTACACACAGATGGATAGATATATCATGAGCATAAGGTGAAGGGCTCAAGGTGCTGGCCTGCAATTGGCCAGACCACTGTTAGTGGACAGGCCTTCACCAGAGTGAACTCCTAGAGATTCCTGCTTGGGGGTGTTTGGTCTATGTTACCACGCTGCGCAAATGGGCGTCTTGGAAGAAGTGGGCGTACTACCCACGCTTTACCCCATGAGCATGCAAATCCGTTTTCAAAATCCATTGCGCATCTAATGTTCAAATGCATTTTGTGTTATTGTTTTAGATGCCACCACAGTGTTTGCCAACGCTGAACACCACTCGCCAACACAAATGGAAGACTATGGTGAACACTACTACAATCACCTGTCCGGTATGGCGCAACAGAATATTTTTACATTTTCTTACATTATCACCAGACGGGCAATACCACATGTAGCAGACTTCGCAGTGATAATTTAGTAATTATCCTAATCGTACATTTCCTATTTGTAGGTAGTGTAATTTTGAAGGTAATTGTAGGTTAAGAAAAAAAATGTTCGTGGAATAATCCAATAGTTTGACACATATACAAAACTGAATTCACCATCACCATCCCAGCATGGAATAAAAAGTTAGGTCGTCTGATTATGTCCGACTCCGTGGCATTTTATGAACATTTTTTCCTTATTCTCACAGAGAAGTGCAACCCTTGCACTCACGTGCCCTGCTGCAGAGAGTAATATTTATCGCATGACACAAAAGGATATTTAAATTCTCAAAGCCAGAATTTAGTCAAATAATATGAAGAAACAAATTGAATGTTGTGGGTGTATTGTGCAGTTATTGGTAACCAAACTGAAACCATCAATTAACTATACACGAGAACTCAGTTTAATAACAGCAGTTTGAGACTTGAATTCGAACTCAGGATCTCAGCAATGCCAGCTTGGCACTGTGACCTCTGAGCCACCCAGCCACCTCTTAAACCAATGTTCTGGGATGTTTTTTTTTCTCATTGGTGACCAGGCTGAGGTCATCCACTCATTAGAATCCAGGAATCAACATTTATTTTTTTGATCGGTCTCTGGATTCCCCATGGGCTAAGTGTGTTTTCACTGTCATGATTTTTGGCAGAGGAACCTCGGCAGACCCCAACCACAGCTGTTGACGGGAACAGCCCCAATGGCGTGCCTCACAACATTAAACTGGAGACATTTGAAGGTACTGTTTTATAAAGGTGTTTGTTAAGAAGCATGCGTGCAGAGTTTCAGTGTTTATCTTAAGTCTTCATTTGGGTAAGGGATGAGGAACCTACGACCCAGCCCGCAACTTAAGTTTATGCGGCCCAAGGCCATGTAAGGCCTAAAACATTTAAATGACCCAAAAACAATATTGTCACCGTAAGCATCTCAGCCACATTAATATGGTTCTGGAACAAACAATTTTCAACCTGGAAAAACTTTTGTTCCTAATGTCACCACGCTTTTATGTCCTCATGCATTGATAGAAGTGACTAAAGTGTGTGTGATAATGTGTGGCTTATTAATCATGGGCGGGCAAAACCCAAATTGGAATGCAGGATCTTGACAGTGCCAACTCAATTCTCTGATCTCTAAGGCACCAGGTTACCTGTGATAAAGGCCTTCATGCTACAGCGTATTGACAACTGTTTTTATACAATATACATGTGAGTCCATCGAGATATCTTCTCACCATGTGAAGAGAAATCTAGGTCAAACAAGCACCAAAGTGGAACCACCCTGTATGTTCTATCAAACATGCATTCTTGGTGCATTCTGCCCTTGTGTAGTGTTTTGCACTTGACTTGAAATCAGAGCTCATCAGTTTCAACCCAAAGCTATGCAGTGGTGTAAATGGTTACACAACAGTCGATGAGCAGGTTGTGTATGGTGGGCTAAAGCATAACACATTTGGCCATTGTGGAAGAGTAGGTCAATATCCCCTCTGGAGGAGCTGTCTGCTGGCAGTGGGCAAGTACTTGGGAGGGCTGCCCCTTTACCTTATTTAACTTTACATTCTTGGTGGTGAAGGGGGATATTGATATTCTTGGTTTTTCGGTAAAGTCACGTAGAAGGGAAACAAAATAATAAAAATATAAAACAATAATATTCTCACGACGTTTCGACTGCAACACAAGCAATCATCATCAGGTGTGAAAACCACAACAATAAAATTTGAAAAAAGTAGCGGTTATTTTCGGGGATATTGATGTCAAAGGTCAGGAGTGGGAGTTCGGGGACAGCGGGTGCCGTTGTCTCAGTTGTTGCCTCTGCCCGCGTCTCAGGGGAGGAGTCGAGGGCAGCACTGGGAGGAGAGGGGAGCGACCACCTGCGCTGGGAGGAGACGGAAGCCCACCACTCAGTGGCAGCAGGGACCGCAGCAAACAGCGGATCCCAGCTTGCAGGCAAGGGCCAGATTGATGTATAAATATAATTCAAGATTGGGTTCGATCCAGGAAAGCCACAACCATATCAGGGCCAACATGTTTTCATAACCTTTGTACAAATGGGCCTGTGACCTCATCGTAACAGAGCCTGTGTGTCTCAGTAAGTTTATTTTAAAACCATGGTTGATAATCACAGGTACAAAATGCCAAACGACCAGCAACAAACAGCACTATTGAAGGTATAAAATATTAGAGTTAATATGGTTCTTGAATTGAGTAAGGCTATAAGAACTTGGTAATAGAGATGATGCGATGGAATTTCAAAATCGAGCAGTGTGAGGAAAGAAGCAAAGAGAGAAGAAATTTGACCTGCAGTACAGTGGTTCAACAAATTAATGCTGACCGAGTCCTCAACATGGGTGGAGGAAAATCAATGAATACATTTTATTGAATAACCGTGGTAGTAACACCATAAGAGTGTTAAGAAGGCAACTGACCATCGGTAAGTAAGTGACTGGGGTTTGTGTGAGTGGGACTGTGATGTCATCAGAAGTAGGCCTGCCCTCAGCTGGGGCAGCTGTGTTGGGCAAGAGAAACCCAGTCTGGTTTGCAATGGAAAAAGACGACATGCCCCCATCGCTGGAACCCAGGACAAGAGGATTGCTGGCACTAGTGTCCTGAGTTACATCTGTCCCTCAGTGGCTGCAAAAGGTAACGGTGCAGCCCTGGAATTACTTGCTCATCCCATTGCTGGTGTAAAGGCCTCTATTAGAGGGAAATGTAGAGGACCCCCACGAGAGGATATTTGGCTTTCTCTTCCATGCTGACCAGATGTCTTGGATGAGTACCCACAATGCACCCCACCTGCCGACCGACTGTGGTGTGCATATTTATACTGTTTGGACAGAGTTAGCGAATTAAGAAACATGTCCATTGTCAACTACCATGCCGGAAGATCGAACCATCCAGTGTGTGAACCATTACGCCATGGCGCCATCACAAGTTACCATATATTTCCAATACAAGGTGAGCCCAAAGAAATACAACCTTCACAGAGAACTCATGCAGAGGTATCTCCACTCCTTGTCTCCAACTCTGTTTAGCAAATGGGACACCTAGTGGCAGTTAATGGGAAGGAGTGATGTTTGTACTTATGTTGCACTCCTTTCACAGAGTACTTAGCCAACCATGCTAATCAGGTGTAGGGGAAGGACAACCAACAGACACAAAGAGCAGTTCTAAAGAAATTCGTTTTCAATCGAGATTTAAAAGTGCATAGCTCCAGTGGTTTCCGAATATTGGACGGAATAGCGTTCCAGACGGCCACAGAAGCGCATCTGAAAGTGCGCGATGCAGCGACCGCCTTTGTTCGATGGCTTGACAAAAGCCGCTGCAAGGATGACCGAAGTTCGCATGATGGTTTATGCTCCTTGACAAGATCAGCAAGGTATTGTAGTTCATTTGTGGCAAGCACATTGTGTGTAACGAGTGCGGCCTCAGAATGTATTCGTTTGGCAACCGGAAGCCAATGCAGCTCCGCGAACACTGAACGGACATGGTCGGATCTTGAAGTTTGAATTAAACGGTTGTCATCAACTATTAACTTATCCATCACTGTTGGATGAAGGCCTCCCAAAGCCATCGCCGTAGCTCATGGTCCTGCAATGGAACAATCTACCTAGCACCTGCACACGAGCTGATTTCATGGCTCCAAGTCTACGGTAGACATCCTCTCAGGAACTGTCCAGTCTTAATTTTCTTAGTTTATTTTAAATTGAGTTAAACTGCTGAACGCAGTTGGATTTCAGTACAGCTCAAGATTTGTTTTATGTAAACATGTTACAATGCTGTATGGCCAACTAAAACCAATATTTTAGTTGTGACAATTTTTTTTTATTTTTTGGACATCGAATAGAAATTTAAATAAAGAAGCAGAATCACTTTTAATTTGAACTCTAGAAGCAACCAACAGCATCCCGCCTTGTGATGCTACGCCAAGGCGGCTGTAAAACTGCTTATTACTACTCGCATGACGTAGTTCTGTTCGCTCCATCGCATTATATCCAATTCGTATCCGCGTTATAAAAAATGTGTTCCCTAATTTATTGCATTAAATCCAATTCACGTTATGAAAACACGCGTTATAGGAGAACAGACTGTAGTTAAATATCTGATGACCCTGAGGAGACCCTTATCCAGCAGTCGATTAGTAAAAGGGCTGTATATACATAGAGCTTAAACCTCTGCCCCTTAAGCCCACATTGTCTCATCAGCAGTTATGCCAACGATTCCATATAAGTAATATGTCTTAGTGAGAAAAGTGCAATCCTTGATCTCATAATTATATTATCCAAAAATTCTAATGATTGGCATGACTGTTGATGGGACAGCCAATGGAAGTTAAGGAGTGATGTTTATGCATATAAGTAAAGCGTTTTTCACTGAGAATCTGAGATTGATGAAAGTGTCGTTGACAGATTGATAGGAACTAACGTCTCTCAAGAATACATTTTCAGAGGGACGACCATTATAGTAACACCAAGTCATATCCATGATGGTACAAACTGAAACTCTTAAAAAGTGGCAAAGCCATGTAGCTACACAATTCCCTGGATCGTTTGTACACGCACTCAACCTGTCTTCACTCTCATGTGGCCCATTAAAAGGCAGAATGTGCATGACAACTTCCTACGCAGAATATAAAAACCTATCATCCAAACAGGTAACTTGTATATATTTCAGGTATCACCGTGTCATGATCGGTGTAAATTATTTTCAGCGATGGTTCTGTCTTGTGAGTAGCGTAAAAATATAAACATGTCTATGCTCGTGCTTGGTTTAGGGCTCAAAATTCATCAAAATTAACACTGGCCCTGTCACCTTCTCCTCTAGGTAAACTGTTGGACAAAACCCCCCCAGGCTATGTCAAGGATGATAGACACACACCAGCAGAATCGCTTGTGCCTCATCCCAACCAATTCGACCGCCAATGGCGGCAACAGCAGCAGGAACCGCAGCATCAGGTGATGGGCGAAGACCGGGTTAGCACCGATTGTGCCGCAACTAGCACCACCGCAAGCCCACGGCTCCCCGCCAGCTGGCGCGCAGCCGTCATCACTGCAGCCGCTAGACGACGCAGCCGGGAGCCCGGCGGCGCAATTATCGGCGTTGGTGGTGGCGTTGGCATTGGCGGTGTCGGAGCCGGCAGGGGCGGGGGACGGCGCTTCGAATGCGCGCAGTGTGGCCGGCGCTTCTCGCGTTCCGAGGCGCTGGTGTTCCACATGCGCACGCACACGGGCGAACGACCCTACGGCTGTGACGTGTGCGGCCGTGCCTTTTCGCTGCACTCGAACCTCAAGGTGCACCGGCGGACCCACACGGGCGAGCGCCCGCACCGATGCGACGTGTGCGGCCGTGGATTCACGCATCGCTCCAGCTGGAAGAGGCACCAGCGTACGCACGACCGCATATACATGATGCAACAGCTACCAACGACGGTGCCACCGCCGCTGCAGACGATGGCGCAGCGACAGCATGGCGATCGTACACTCTAGACCTCCGCTTTGTGAGTTTCGACAATAACGGACTCCCAGTGCGTGCCACTCGGAGAGTGCTTAAGCACTTTCCAATGAGTCAGCGATCGGCGTCGGCATACAGGTTTCCGTTATTCCGCTGTCTGGAAGCCCAAATGGAATTTCTGGAGAGCTGACTGAAAATAATATATGGCCATCATCAAAAAGACGGTACGCCGTATTCCAGCACTATCAGTAAACTATACAAGACTGCAGCAAAACAACACATCACACGGGGATACCAGAAGTGTTACATTCCATGTTGCACCAAAGAAAGTAAATTTTTTAAAGCAGTACGAGCAGAACAATGACTCTGTCATTGATCAAGCTCCGCTTGACTTATTAAATGAGGCTAGACGACAACAGCGGTGTGGTACAGCAGAGGGCCTGGACTTCACAGATTCCAGTTGCAAGGCCTGGAACCTGCTCCGCACTCTTGGTACTGCAAAATCAACAGCCTCCCAAACCCCAGGAGTCACAGCGGACGCCATTGGTGCTCACATTCTCCAGAGAACACAAAGGACCCTCAAAATGCAGGAGGTATAGAAGCCATCCACAACCTCACCCCAGAGGCCCTGGATTGGCTAAAGAATTATGAAATGAACCTTGGACAACTTGCTGCTCCCCTCCAATAAGTCTGCTCGTCTGCAGGAATTCATGACGGAAGAAGAATCACGAGCATGATGGACCTATTGAACACATCGTGCGATTAATGATGCAGTTAAAACAAATGAAACATGTGCTTGGTTGCTAGTTTATGCTGTTGACAAAATAACATCGACCCACAGTAATGCAGTGATCTAAATGACATGCCCCCGTGTGCAAAAAAGCTGTGAATTCAACTCCTGACATTGTCGGGCGCCACTATTGCGGGTTTGGCACGTGCATATACCAACTTAAATCTTGATTTGAAGCTTTCATGACTGCAGGAATCCCTACTCTTTGGTTCTTTCGGTAGAGTCACGTAGGTAGAAAAAATAACATGACGTTTCCATCGTGATCTAGTGCTGGCGCGGCGGTCCCCTTTACGCCCGTCACCCGGGTGCTGCTGCGGGGTCCATTCTGCCCCGGCTCCTCCCACCCCCCCCCCCTTCTCTCTCCCCCCCCCCCTACTGGCGAGACCTAAATAACCTCGTGCCACGGCAGATCTCTTGCCTAATTAGCAGTTTTTTTCTTGCTGTGGTTGTCCCACCTGATGACGATTGCTTGTGTTGCGATCGAAACGTCGTGATCTATTATTTTTTCTACCTACGTGACTTTACCGAAAGAACCAAAGAGTATACCAACTAACATTGGTTCAGTATAGCCAGCTTCCGCAATGTACCGTGCATTGCGACATGGATGTATTGAAAGGTGTGGCAGTTATGCCACAGTGATATCACTAGAGGCATGTCAAAGCCTGGAAGTTGCGTCTCTGATTTTCATTTATATTTTTTCATTCACAAAGGTTGAAAGTCATGTAAGACAGACTGGAGTATATAGTCTAGATATGTAACTTACAGATAACAGCTGATAACTGGATTTCTTTGGCATTTTTTTTCACAACATGACAGTAGTCGGATTTCGTGGCTCGTTTGACCACTCATGGTTCAGAGGCAGTGCTGGAAATTGCATGTTCCTTTTGTATGACTCTGGCTTTGCGTAACAAAATAAGATCCACAGGTGACTTCCCACGGAGTGGTAAAAGTCGCGCATTGTTTAGGTGAGGTCCAGTCAAACATTACACATTGCTTTGGCCAGGCTCCGGCCATTCTTAAAGCATTCACGATATAACATCCAACACCGAAGCTGATGTTGCCTTCGCCTGTGCCCAGTGGTGCAGACTGATTAAGTGCTGCTGATTCTACTGATATTTGAGAGGTGAGAATTAGGATAGTGACAATGAAGATGGTGATTTTACGGTCTTGGAGAGGTGATTGTGGTGCTGATGATTATGGTGATGAGACAAGAGTTGATCTTGACTGGAATTTTTGCCCACAACCTTGCGATTGTGAACCCAGAACTCTTTAGCAAGTGCGTTATTAAGTTAAAATTTCTTGGTAAAAAAATACAGATGAAAACTAACCAAGGTAACACCGAAAATTAAGCTTACATATAAAAATGTAAACGTGGTAATGTCATAATTAGTTACGTTTCAGTTACTGTAGATCATGTAAGTATAATTAAATTTGTAGCTATACCATCTGCCACCTGAACAGTCAACCAAATCAAGTTGTCACATAGGCAAATTAAGCCAAATATTTTTTTTCAGCAACCCGGAATGTTGAAAAGCAAGAAAAAAATTGACAAATGGAAACGACCTTTTACTGGTTATTCCATCCAGCATTATCAGGTGTTACCAGAAGTTCTGCTCTTGCGTTGAGCAGAGCTGCTGTTAACACCTGATAATGCTGAATGTAATGTCCAGTGAAACATCTTATAAAATTGCCAAAAAAAATTGCATATTTTCCCACGTGATACATTGATTTGATTGGTTCAGGTGGGTGGCGGATAGTAGAGCTCAGATGTTGGCAACCTGCGGCTTTAGAGCAGCATGCGGCTCTTTGGCTGCCCCTTTGCAGACAGCAGTTGATTTTCTACTTAGAATTCACTGTATTTGGTTCTTTACACTATAAGTGTAGGACAGGCGGTCCCCGCTATTACATTACAATGTGTTCATATAAACCCCGTTGTAAATCGGATTCTACTTTCCCATAGACGCAATGTTACTCTCTTGGTAACAAAATATAGTCAAACTGTATTGTTAAAGAATAACTCTGGAGGGGAAAAAACTAAACGGACACTGTTTATTCCATCACCTATTTTGTTTACGTCAGATGTGTTTGCCATCTGCCGCATACCTGCTGTGTATATGCACAAGTAGCTCTGCGTGCGATGTGGCTCTCGAAATCCGTTCGTCAGACAAAAAAATGGCTTCTTTGAAAGGTTGACCCCTGTTATCTCTGAAAATTTACATTTTACCTCCATATAAAATGAATGATCATCGTCGTTAAATAGAGAATGACATTTTCACTGTGAATGGAAATGTTACAAAGCGATCAAAAACTATAAAAAAAAGTTCTGCGTAAAAACTTAAACAATTTGCAATGTTGCAAGGTATTTTTGATGCTTGGTAATTGGCATCTATCTGCCTCCAATATCTCAGTGCCAATAAAGACACGGAACGGTTAATGTCAGGGAGTTGTTTTTGCGTGACCAGTTTTACTCAGGCTATGTTGTATGCAGCTGTACCAGTTGGTATGTAACGATTGATTAAAATCTCATGGTATAATGCATCAAATTCTGTGCAAGAATATATTATGTATAAGTCATGATAATTGCAAGGACTCCTCTACTTACGAACTTTTGACTTACAAACTTTCAGAGATACAAACAAACCTTTCCGTATGTCCAGTTGCCTGTTCGCACCGAGAGTCGTAGGTTCAACCAACGAGCAATACATGGCGGTGGTTGTTTGGTGTCATTACCTATTATATCTCACAAGTGTACATCTGCAGAACATGTAGAACCAGTGGCATCTGCAGATTATTCAACTTTTAAAGCGATTGCCCGTGTTTAGTGTACATGCCTTACAACGTGTTTAGAATCGACAGTAAATTTGGATTTACGAACAAATCGACTTACGAACAGACCTTTGGAACCAAACTCATTCGTAAGTAGAGGAGTCCATGTATATGCAAATGTAGGGGGTTGGCAGCAGAGGCACTGTGCTGTGAACTCAGAGACCCGAATTTGCACTAAAAGTGTGTTTCTATTGGATAATCTTTATATTATTTTGCCCTCCTGTTTTAGAGACATGGAGTTCATGAAAGCATTTGAAACAAATACAGTGAGGGAAAAAAGTATTTGATCCCCTGCTGATTTTGTACGTTTGCCCACTGACAAAGAAATGATCAGTCTATAATTTTAATGGTAGGTTTATTTGGACAGTGAGAGACAGAATAACAACAAAAAATCCAGAAAAACGCATGTCAAAAATGTTATAAATTGATTTGCATTTTAATGAGGGAAATAAGTATTTGGCCCCCTCTCAGTCAGAAATATATCTGGCTCCCAGGTATCTTTTATACAGGTAACGAGCTGAGATTAGGAGCACACTCTTAAAGGGAGTGCTCCTAATCTCAGCTTGTTACCTGTATAAAAGACACCTGTCCACAAGCAATCAATCAATCAGATTCCAAACTCTCCACCATGGCCAAGACCAAAGAGCTCTCCAAGGATGTCAGGGACAAGATTGTAGACCTACACAATGCTAGAATGGGCTACAAGACCATTGCCAAGCAGCTTGGTAAGGTGACAACAGTTGGTGCGATTATTCGCAAATGGAAGAAACACAAGAACTGTCAATCTCCCTCGGCCTGGGGCTCCATGAAAGACCTCACCTCGTGGAGTTGCATTGATCATGAGAACGGTGAGGAATCAGCCCAGAACTACACGGGAGGATCTTGTCAATGATCTCAAGGCAGCTGGGACCATAGTCACCAAGAAAACAATTGGTAACACTACGCCGTGAAAGACTGAAATCCTGCAGTGCCCGCAAGGTCCCCCTACTCAAGAAAGCACATATACATGCCCGTCTGAAGTTTGCCAATGAACATCTGAATGTCGATTTAAAGCTTTCGTGACTGCAGGGATTCATCTTCTTGGTTCTTTCGGTAAAGTCACGTAGAATGGAAATTAAATAATGAAATAAAATAATAAAATTATCACGACGTTTCGGCCACAAGTGGCCTTCTTCAGGTGAAGAAACAGCTCTATCAAGAAGACCGAACTTGAATGAACGCTGTCAAGAAAGGACCGCGTCTTTTGAAACTGTGGGCGGAGTTGAATTAGTATGTTACAAGCCCCACCTCCGGAGCGGGGGAGGGAGGGGGCTGGGAACAAAAAGCAAAAAAGGGGGCAATAACGATGCTAATGGGCAATTACGATGCTTTATATTGCCTTATGAGTTATGTTAAACATTACAATGTTATACTATTAATTATACTGCATGTTATAAACCATATCATTAACCGTGGTGTGAGAGGTATTAAGAGGCAATGCCAGCGAAAGGGCTGCGGTCTGAAGGTCACCGTAAAATACAATTAAGAACCGAAATGGTTTAAAACATCTTTCCAATGGTTACTAAGCCAGAATCCATCGTCTCGGTTGAAATTGTCTCTGTGCTTGTATATGTGGATGGCCTCATGAACGAATCTCTCATGGTAGCCGGTTGGCTTGCAAAGAACCTCCGTCTTGGAGATGTCAATGTCATGTGAGCCCACCGAATTATAACAGTGATCTGCCACGGCTGAGGAGTTCGTCCTACCGTGTTTCAGGTCTGCTTTATGTTCACGGATGCGGTCCGAGATATGTCGTTTGGTTTCTCCAATGTAGCTGCTACCACAGAGGCACTTTAGTTTGTAAACGCCCGGGTACTGTATGTCTGGAACCACATCTTTTACAGATGGAACTAGATCATGGATTTTATTTAGTGTTGAATCGAACCTAGATGTTGTGTTTATTCAGGAT